GTTGAGGGTTTAGGGTTTACCCATAGGCCCCATAGTAGTGCCTTTTTGGGAGTACCTTATAGGATTCTAAATATGACCCCAAAAAAGGAACTTCCTTTTTGGGATTACCTTATAGGATTCCAAATACGAACCCCAAAAAGGAACTACTGTGGGGCCTATGGGTAACTCAAAAGTTTGTTCAGTTTGGAATCGAACACCCGGAGGGAAAAACACAAAACACACAAACACAGCTAGATTGTCAGTCAAAAACAGATCACGTCGACGACGGCTTTGTGAAATATTCGAAGCCCAAGCGCGAACTAGGGCTTCACAGCCGAAGTCCAAGAGAACAACCCTACAACCGAGAGCCTCAGGAACCCCAAAGCTTGCAGGCACCCCACTCCCTCCACCAAGAACGCCGAAATCAGTGGTTTAGGGATTAGGGTTTAGGGGTTTAGGGTTTAGGGTTTAGGGTTTAGGGATTAGGGTTTAGGGATTAGGGTTTAGGGGTTTAGACTTTAGAGTTTAGGGTCTAAAGGGCTTTGGGTTTACCTAGAGTCTCCATCGTAACGCCTGTTTTGGGCTCCCGAAAACTCCGCAGCCCCAAGCCTAAAATCCCCCAAATGCTCCCTAAACCCCTATAACGCCCTGAACCTTTAACCCTAAACCCCGACGCCCCTCCCTTATAGTACCCTTATAGAAACCCTTACAGATCCCCTTAAAGGACTCCTAAAAGGGCCCCAGATTTAAAAAAAAACGCCCTCCTCGTACGCTTGCATCTTCCGTCGGCTGCGAAGAACGGAGCCCACGCCACGAAGTAGCAGGTCCAGACCCACCTTTCACGGTTCTTTATAGGGCTTTAGGGGATTTAGGGTTTAGCTTTAGGGATCAGGGTTCTCTAGGGCTTTAGGGGTGGGGTTTAGCTTCAGGGATCAGGGCTTATAGGGCAGTTTAGGAAACCCTAAACCCTAAACAAACCTTAGGGTTTACAGGGTTTAAAGGGCATTGTTTCAATTGCCAATAAAGATAATAAAGGCTTCATGGCTAACGAGTATAGGTCCCCCAAACCTACGCTTGTAAATTCAAGACTATGCCGGGAAATCATATGAAGGAATCCTACATGCTCCCTCCTCAAACCCTTTTAAATTCTCCATAAGCCCCTGACGAAACGCTAGGATGCCCCTAGTTCCGGCTTGCCTCGTTTATGGGACGGAACCGCAAACGGCAGTGGAGACTATAGATACTGTTGATGATAAAAATCCTGCAGTACCTTATGGATCCTAAACTATGGGAATTGTGGTATATTCCTTATTATGGGTAATGCAGGATGTATATCATCAAAAGTAGGATTCGGCGACACTCCTGAGAACCGCGCCCTGGAGAAGAAGACCAAGGACAAGGAGCCTGAGATGCAAAGTGAGCGGGGCTGAGGCTTCTTGTTGGAATTGGACAGCTTTTTTTGGGGGGCTGTAGGGTTTGCCACGTAGGGCTTCAGGCTTAGGATAGTAGGATTCCGGGGTTTCGGGTTGCAGGGGCTTGGAGCACTTGGTCTGGATTCAGGCCATGTGGTGGTCATCTTCCTTCAGGACCAGAACAAGGAGTATCTGAGCCGTTGCGCTGGCACTGACTCGGCTACTAAACGAGTCATCTTCCAATTCATTCGGGTCCAGAAGCCTGGAAGAAACACTACCAGGCACCGGGCCAGAAAAAAGACCCAAACGGACCTCCGAGAAAAAACAGACATGCTGCCCTTCAATTGCAGGAATCTTGGTGCATAGGGCTCTTCCATGACCGGCTGGAGAAGACAGCAAGGAGAAGCCCAGTCGGTTAAGGGTTTAGGGTTAAGGGTTTTGGTTTTGACAGTCCTTTCTTCCCGCCAAGCTGAACCGCAGTGTGGGAGCACGGGATTCTTTGAGACTCGATAGAAAATCTCTGAGAGAAGCGCTTGGCTTGCGGTGTATGAAAGAAACTAACCCTTAATCCTAGACCCTGACCCGTGTAAGCATGCGGCCGACCAAGGATGCGAAGCCATAGGGCCATGTGTTGTCAGGGAGTTCGTCCTTGGCGGATCTTGGGCTATAGCTTAAGTGCTCCAGTAAGTAAGAGTGTCGTTATTTCGAAAATAGATTTGGGATTCGGGCTTGAGGCCTACGTAGAGTGTGGGCGAGCAGGGGACCACATTGTGCTTCAAATTCAGAAAAAGGTGCTGAGTAATTAGAATGGGGTTTTGGGACAAGGAATAGTGTTGGTAATTATTCTGTCAAGACTGCAGTGATGCCGGCCTTCAGCTGCAATGAGTCAGGCAACTGCTGCAGAACAAACTCAACACCAACTAAAGTATGTGTGACACTACTCCTTCCTTGTCGCTGCCCGCTAGCCTTCAAGCAAGGCTTCAGTGTTGGGGCTGAAGATGGTACCCCGCGCCCTCGACGATTCGCATGAGTTCTGATCCCTGACACAGCCATCCCCATCTTGAGACGCCCATAAATGATGGGCCTCTCCAGGCCCCGTTCCCCTAAACCCTACCTAGACCCCCAGAAGTAGGTGAAATAATGGCCCAAAACCTATAAAGGGCTATTATTCTACATACTTTCAGGGTCCAGGTAAACCCTAAACCCCGTTCCCTCAGCTTCTGGCATACAACCTGCCAGGACCGCCGGTCACCTGAGCTGGCCGCTCCCTAGCTCGTGTCTGGGGATTTTCTTCCCTAACATGGGCCCTTAGGGGGGTTCTAGCGTCCCTTAAGGGTACATATAGGGTATATAGTAGGTATATATAAGGGTGCTTGCCAGCTAGGGGATGCAGTGTGAACCCAATGTCACGCATACAAGCTTTTTTTTGGATGTAAACTTAATAGCTACATACGCCGTATTCTCTGGATGTAAACTTAACCGTGGCACTAATACATCGTGAAACCGCAGAGAGCATGCAGAACAAAGAATAGACCGGCCAGAATCAGGAGGAGTCTGCTGCGGATTGTCTTTTCTGTTGTTTAAGGTTTCGGGGTTTGGGGTTTAGGGTTCCCTACACCCTAAACCCTAAACTCAGGCATATTTTCAGCGTTTAGACCGCTCGGGTTCTTCGTCTTCGAAAATCGGTGGAACACGCTTTGGCTTCGCTCTCGGGATTTGAGAGAGGGGCTTCGGCTACAGAGTGTGGCTCTTAGTCTTAGGGTTTCGAGTGAGGGGTTTCAGCACTCACTCTCTGACATGCCTAGGCGAGGTTCCTGGTACGGGGCGAGTGCAGGGTTTAGGGTTTAGGGTTGTTATAGAGACTTTTGCTTGTCTTACACCAAGACGGCAGAGAAACGGTTGCAAACACGACATGAGGGTTGCTGCATGCACGCATCACAGCAAGAAAACGACCGTCGGCGGTGAGCACATGGCAAGAAGAAGCAAATCTTGCCATCAAGTTGCGAAGGCAAACACCGCCACAAATTTGATGAAATTGTTCATGGCCTTGGCATCGAGGGCAGCCACTCTTGTCGGACAGTTGGGCTCGCGCAGCCTTGACAGGAATGTAGTTAAGGCTCGGGCCGCATGTTGCAGAAACCCTGGCGTTGATTCATGACTTGGCTGACTTCTGAACCCCTCCGAAAAGCTAAACTTTTAGTCTCCTTCTTATGGTTCATGTAGAAACCATAATAGCTAAAGTCCTAAGAGCCAACCAGAAGAACACCAAGATGACATATCTCTCAACGAGTCTTTGTCTGTTGGCAAACTCCCTGTTTGTCTCGTGCTGTGGAAGCTGAGGCCACGGCAGGGCCTGTCGTATCCTCGAAGGGGCCACCTGTTCTGTTCTGTTCTGTTCAGTTGTTGGAAGTGTCAGAAGACGCACTCTCGAATTCGAAGGCTTAGCAGCAAAGCCTCAGAAAGACGTAGGAAGGGGCCACCTGTTGAAGACTAGTGCGGTTTGGGTGTCCAAGTTTGGATGTGAAGACCCGAAATCCTAAAATTCGGGCACGGCCCTAGTTTAGGGTCCGTCCCATGCCAGTTCACGAACAAACAGCCGGATCAGTTGAGGCTTAAGAGTTGCAGGTTTTCCGCCTGCTACTTTGCAAGTTCATGACCCCATCACCCACCCTACCTCGCCTCGCACAACCCAGTCACCGACAAGCTTCAGGGGGTTGGGTTCCGAAAGAGCCCTTACGGGAACCCTTACCCTAAACACGATTCCAAAACCTTACACCCTATGCTCTGAACCCCAAGACCCCCAACCCTCGCATGGAGGTCTGAATGCTTAGTAGAAGTATCTCTTTACAGCCCACTCTACAGGCAGAAGACATCCCCCAAAACCCAATGCTTACACATGAAACCCCGATGTTAAACTCATCACTCCGACATGCTGCTCAGGAGCCGATGGTTTCCCCGATGCCCAGGTTGGCATAATGAGGAGAGTCGGGACCTGCAGGACGAGGAGCCCGAATCCTAAATCCTAAACTCATACTCCAGAACCCTAAACAATCCTGAACATATACATGTACACTGCCGGCTTTCACGGGGACATCAAGGACTTCGTCGGGTATCCGGCACCAGACGGCCACTCCGCAAGCGGCGCACTCCAGGGTTTGGTGCTTCGGGGGCTTCTGGGGTTGCTCACTATGCCCATCTTTCTAAGTTCATTCACACATACACTACGATGCTCGATAAGGATGCTGCAGCTGACTTATCTAACAACTCCAACTGCGGTTCTTACCCAGCACCCTGCCGAGGCCGACACCGGAAACCGGTAATTAGACGTCAGATTCTGTAACCTTGACGCTTTTTCGGATGAATCCCAGACCTCGAGACTTGACCTGCCCAACAATGCAGTGATGCTTGTCTACAAGGCAACAACGGCGGCGGCGACCGTATTCAAGATGGTAGAGCAGAAAAGAGAAGTACTTTGCAGCACCTGGGCGGAAAGATCATTTAATGATAAGCCAAGTCAGCGGCTGTGTAGTACAAGTGCTCGATGGCACAAAGACTAGAATTGAAGCAACATCACCACCAATAGCATCAGTGAGCGTGGCTAAGCCTCGGGAATAGATGCGAGCGTGACTAGGCCTCGGGATCAGACACGACAATATCAAATGCACACAACCCTAAACCCTAAACCCGTGTTGCACTTGTTGAAAGGCCGGAGGTTATGGGCTGCACAGGTCATGACGCCTTCAGCTAGCAAGGCCGGAGTATAGGTAGTATTATTAGGGGTACCCCTTAAAGGGTACCCCTTCTGAACCCTACTGAGAGGGTCTATATCCCCAAGGGTCCCCCTAATCCCAACTCCCAGACTAGGTGTAGGGTATTTGGGTATCACAAAACCCTGGCTGCAATCGCTGGCCGCTTCGCATTTTAAATCAAACCCCCCAAAAAAGTTTCGGAGCCTATAACATTGCCATCCTAAACCCTAAACCCTAAACCTCGAACCCCCCAAACAAGTTTCGGAGCCTATAACATTGCCATCCTTGTCCCGAAGGAGACCGAAGAGCACAAACTTCCTGCACGAGCAATCGCCGGAAGCTCACTTGCTATCCGAGGCACCGGACATCTAGTTTCCGGGTACCTTATTTTGGGGTCCTTATAATAATGATCCTACTATTTAGGGTGCTATATTAGGGTGCCCTATTTTCGGAAACTCCCATCTTGCTTGCTTAGTTGGAGGATGTAAGCAGTGGCATAAGTGAGATAAGCATAGCATAGCCTGGACAAGCTGTGGTCGGCATCAGACTACTCAGTCTCTACTTCTGTGTACATGTGAGCCTCACATGCCAGCAGGTTAGGAGCTTGCGCCGTGGAGCCACTGAAGTGCTACCGTGAGATGCAGGGGAGATCTTGAGATAAACTATCCAACCCGTGCAAGTCGAGGGTTCGAGAAGGAATTTAGAAGGTGCCTCCTCAGCAATGCAAGCGGCCGTAGTACAGTGAGAGTAACAAATAACCTGCACAGCCAAGATGATACTTGCAGTCATCGTCCCAAACTCAGACCACGATGTCCTGGCTGCCACCCATGATTGCCCTGAGTTGATCAGGAAGATGCTCAGGCAAAGCACCAGCACGTTCGAGCCGGAGAGCATGAAGAGCAAACCTGACACGAGTTGTCGTTCTCGGCAGGGTTTGGGGTTTAGGGTTTAGGGTTGCTGTTCCAAGGCTTCGGCTTCACCTCCGGAAAGGGGTGGTGAGGCCTCTGGACTCAAGCATATGCACCCGATTCCACGTATGTTTGGATACAACAACAAATTCTATAGATGTGTGTATATATACAAACAATACATGTCTGTATATATATATAATATATATATATATATTATATATATATATATAGGGCCCAAGTGACCCAGCAGTGGG